ATTGTTCGGATAATGGTGATGTTGAACTTTTAGTTCATCTTTTCAGGATGATGATTCCATGGACAAGGATGGAAATGAGCTTGATGGAGAATGCTCACGTCCCCAAAAACATGCGAAGAGTCCTGAACTTGCTCGAGAGTTTCTCCTTGATGCAGCTACTGTTATATTTAAGGAACAGGCATGTTCAAACCTTTTCACCTTTTTCGTGCTTTAAAGTCTTGCAATATGACTGCCATTCTTTTAAATTATTTACATAAAAAAGACTGTGGGATTCTATCATTTCCATTTGATAATTAAAACCTGTGTGTAGAAGAATGTGATCAGTGGGAAGGTAACAAAAGCCAGGTGTATATTAATGACTTGATGTGTTAATTAGTGGCAGGCAAGTTATTAATTGGAATTTCATTCCATTGTTTTTGACTGAATCTCTGTCTAAATGGCTTTTGTTGTTGAATTTTGTGCTTCAGAGAAGCAGGACTAAAGATAAATGAAAATTTATCTTTGGTTAAACTTTGAGACGAATATAGCTTACGCTTCATACTTGACCGGAAACACCTATTTGAGTGATACATAAAGTTGAGAAGATTATAATGACTTTGAGAAAGATTACCATAGGATGTTCATAATACTATAGATACTTAGCTGGAGGTTTGAAATGCAATTAGTTTGTTTTATAAGCAATGATATCTTGAGACAAGTATGAGGCCAACCTTGTTAACTTTCTCCTTTAAGTTTGTTCGTAGACAAATGCTAATCTGCCATCTAGTTAGTTGTTTTGAAATTGCCAAACAAATCCAATGCAGGGGCTCTACCTCATTCACCTTTGCTCAAATTCATGATAATGTAGAGGCAGTAGCACATTTTGTACTGGCTAATATGAAGATGTTTTTGCGAGTAGTCTAAAAAGATTCCTATTTCTAAGAAATAATAGGCAATAGTACTCAGTCTAAAGGAGTGAAAGTACACTAGAGGTTATGATCATGGAGAAGAACACCAGTTGTTGCCTGTTGGGAGAAAATGAGTTGTTCCAAGTTTCAGAGTGAAATGCTGTGAGAAAGGATATGGAACCTATAATTTAAGTGAGGTCATCTGAAATCAAGGCTAATGAGTTCAAATTTAAGGCTAAATATTTTTGTATCTTTGTTCTGATATAGGTGATTGGCATTATATCTAGCAAAAATTCAAAGAAATGGTTTGCTTATATACGTGATTAACAGGGTTTTAAGAGATTTTAAGTAACTGAATCACAAGACTTACAATGATTTTGTTTTGATTTCCTCTAAAACTTGGTAAGAAAGACTTGGACTTTGTTTAGTGGTTCTTGTGGGTTGTGTAATGTGTTTGTGGAGTTGTGGCACAGCAAACATACAACTCAATCTGTTTCAGTTGTTTGTGTTCTCATTATTTGCTAAAATTCTTGTTACAAACGTCAAAACAATTTATCCATTTTGATATTCAGGTTGAAAAGGCTTTTAGGGAAGGAACAGCACGCCAGAATGCAAACAGTATCTTTGTTTGTCTTGCACTAAAGCTGCTGGAAGAACGTGTTCATGTTGCATGCAAAGAAATTATTACATTTGAAAAGCAGGTCTAAATAATTGGTGATACTTCAGGATATGTTTTCCTTTCTGCTTATCAATAAATATAGGAGGCTATTCTCTATGTTTGACACTACATAATTTCTACAGATGAAGCTTCTTGAAGAAGAAGAGAAGGAAAAACATGATGAAGAAGAACGCAAGGAGAAGAAAAGAACAAAAGAACGAGAGAAAAAGCTCAGGAGAAAGGAGAGACTGAAAGGAAAAGAAAGAGAGAAAGAAAAAAAATGTGCCAAGTCAACTATTTCTCCTGTTGCTCCTGATGTCTCAAAGGAAGAATCTTCACCAACTATTGAGGTTGAAGAAACTATTGCTATTAATTGCAGAGACTCTGTGAGTGGCATATGTGATATTATTGTGTCTAGACCTGGTTCTCCAGATGTTCAAGGAAAACAGTTTTTAGACGGGCATTCCACTTTAAGTTTGCAAAATCACTCTTTTGATAGTCCTGATGGAGAAGGTGCAAAATTAAAAGATGGGAATGGCTCTTTTACAATGGAACAATCGAAATTTTCTAGTTGGAGAATGAAATTTCGCAAGGATGGTCAATTTGATCCATCCTTGAAATGGTCTGATTACCGCCGATTTGCTGTTGTTTCAGAAAGTGCTCCTGTTAATAGATCTGAGCCAAGATATCGAAGTGAAATCTTTGAGGCTCCTTTGAGGAGCATCAATGGATTAAATAGGCAATCAAAGATAAGCAATGCAAAGTCCAATGGTCGGAATTGTGGTGTTAAGCACACTGAGAAGTTTCAGTGTCCCAACAGCCGAAGTGACAGATATGAGTTCTACTCTTGCAGCTGCGGCCAACACAATGAATACAGAGCGAAGATTGAGCCACATGTTTCTGCAACTAGAGTAGGTCGAGAGCCCAAATCAGTGAGCAAGTCAGAATTTGCCTTGGATATGTCCAAGCAAGTCTATCATGGTAACAAGTATATACAACAAGATTACACGCGGGAAGACTCTGGAAAACTGCAAAATAAAACTATTGCTGGAAACAATCCTTCTGCTCGAGATTCACTTCACTCCAAGAAAGTTTGGGAGCCCACAGAAGCCCAGAAAAAGTACCTCCGGAGCAACTCTGATACAGGTATTACTTTGAGGTCATCTTACAATGAGGGAGCTGGACCTGATAATAACTTTGTTAAGTGTGGTGAGACATGCTCAAGTGAAGCCAGTGTAAATTTGGGTGAAATTGATCATGAGCATAATAATGTTAACAAATCAAGAAATTCCAGCCTTGCAACAGATGAGGACTGTCATGTGGAAACACAGGATCAATGCTCTTCGCTGAATGCTGCATATGATGTAGTAGGAATTTATCCTAATAGAAACCCTACCTTGAACGGAATTTCTCATTCTATGATGAGTAGCACTTCTAATTCTGATAACAGCTCTTCATGCCTTGGTGAAGGAGATAGTAATACCTCCTCTTCAAATCTTGGAAACTTGGAATCTTCTTCAACATCAGATTCTGAAGATGCCAGTCAGCAATCAGATGGGAGAGATACTTCAGTTTGCATTCAAAATGGCTTTTCCGAGTGTCAGATGAAAGGAATGGATGAAAAACAGGATGCTAATGGAGGGGTTTCTTTGGAAAGCCAGGCATTGTTTGGACATTCACCAGATGTTAGAGGGAACAAAGTTCCAGGAAATCCACCGACAAAAATTGCTGAAAATACTGATGATGGAAAACCAACTGCTGTTATGGGTTCTCAACATCAAGGTATGTTTACATCAGTGCATAACCAACATATACAATTTCCTGTGTATCCGGCTCCTTCAACCATGGGTTACTACCTTCAGAATCCTATTTCTTGGCCAGCAACTCCAGCTAATGGATTAATGCCTTTCCCTCCTGCAAACCCCTATCTTTATACTGGCCCTCTTGGCTATGGTTTAAATGGGAACTCACGGTTATGCTTGCCCTATGGCACTCTGCAGCATTTAGCTACTCCTCTGTATCCTGATCCTGTTCCTGCTTATCACCCAGTTTCAAAGGCCAATAGCTTGTATGCAGAGGAACGAATTCAGATTCCCATGCCCGGTGCAACAAGAGAAGCTTTCACTGAAGTTAATACAGAGAGCGTTGTTCCTGGCGGGCTGCATGCAACAGAACAAGCAGCAAATGGAGAAGGTAGGCAAAATGATGTCTCTGCCAAGTTGCACACAGATGGCACTAGCTTTTCCTTGTTCCATTTTGGTGGGCCTGTGGCTCTTTCAACAGGTTGCCAATCTAATCCTGTCCCCTTGAAAGATGAGATTGTGGGAGAACTTTCTTCTCAATTTTCAGCAGATCATGTTGAAAATGGTCATGCTTGCAATAAAAAAGAGACTATTGTTGAAGAGTACAATTTGTTTGCAGCGAGTACTGGCATAAGGTTTTCGTTCTTCTAATATAGTAGTTAGGTATAGGTGACTGGTTTGGCAATTCAGTCCCTACCTTCTTGCCCCGAATGTGGAAGTTTGAGAGTACTTTGTAAGTCGGTATACAATAATCTTCCTGCGAAAGAAAATTCAATTTTAGCTTATAGATTCTTTAGTAGTTTGTTACCCGATTTGTCTCATTGTTTTATGTAGAGAGAAAAAGTTGGAAGAGTGCCATATAATGTTTGAGGGCTTTCTGTATGAAGTCAGTTTTTTTACTAATAAAGCTTTGATGGAATGAGATTTTGTTTTCTTGGAATTTAATTGGATTTGTTGTCATTTCAATTTCAGTTCTTGAATGCTTCAGACTCTGCTCTATCTTAGACAAGGTTTACTTCAGATGAATATTTGCATCCTTAAATCCTTTTGTTTATACTGATTTCTTGAGGAGCGAGCAGTTGAACTTACATGCCATATCCGAAGCTCTTTTACATATCTCAACTTGCACGTAGCTTTGAATTTGATTTGCTGTTTATTATTGGCAGAACATGTGAAAATTCTTTGTATATGATTTGTAATTAAATCTTTTCCAAAATTCTTTGCTAGCTTAAAGGTGGTTACATGAACTAATTAAACTAAATCTTGAGTTTAAAGTGATTTTTTTTTTTGGTACATAGGAGGTCGTAACCTGTTATATACCACTTTTTAAGCAACAACTAAATTAAGCTTCAGGTTTAATAGTTTGTTTTTCATTATTAAACTAGTTTACAACTTTGAATAACCCGGCAAAGTTTAGTTGTACTTTGAACATTGATTAGGCTGCTGCCTAACACGCTCATCTGTATTTTCTCCAAAAGATTACTAGGAAAATATGGTATGATGTTCACCAAGGTTGAGGAGCATGGGATACTGCCCCTGATAGAGGCTTGCAAAAATGGATGGGTTTAGCATTTTCCTTTTTTTATTTTTGTTTTGTTTATTTGTTTATGTCTTCAAGTAGGAATGTAGGATCAAATTCTAGAAGTCAAGAAATAGGTTCATTCACGATTGGACCAGAGGGTAAATCGGGGACCTTTCAGACATTGAAATTGAAACAGATTCATTCACGATTTGATTCATTATTTTCATAATGACATGCAGTGCACTATCTCAATTTGTCTTCACCAAAGATTCATATGCTGAGCAAGAAACGTGAAAGGGGAATGGAAAACACAAAATACTAGTCATAAAATGGAAACTTATATGGCCAAAGGAAAAAAAAAGAAAAGGTAGCTTTGGGACTAAAATTTTGTCACTGGGATCCTCAATTCCTGAACACAACTTGGATACTCCTAAAAACTTTCAGTCAACAATTCAAGCACGAGTTAAGGACAAATCCAAACATTTAAATGTTTGCCTTCGTAAACTTCAAAACAGCTAGATAAAATCCAGGCTCGTCTACAAATTCAGTCATCTCAAAGGAATGGTCAGCTGCAACTTTCTGTAATGTCGTTTTCTCAGGCAGGTTTGCAATTATAACGTCAGGGAACTGTTTTCTTTGCTGCTCTAGCACTTCCCTCCCTTGGGGATAGCTAATTACCAGTCTTGCACCTGTACAAGTAACAATCAGAATCTCATATTATAAAGGAGGCAACAGACGAAACATGGCTTACACCTCCTCATTCTAGTGGATGCAAAATCTAATAAGATTTTTTAGTGCATAGGAGGCCGCAGCAGCATGAGGATAAGGGAAAAAGTTGCAGTAGCTGGGATTCGAACCCTAAATCTGTTGAAAGTCACCTCTTAAGGTGGCTACATGAACCAACTGAATTAAGCTCTGGGTAGAATAAGCCATTTTTTTTCTTGCGTTCCCTCACCTTTTTCAGGTTGAGAATATGCTAAGCTATTCTAATGGTGAAAATATACTATTCAACAAAAATAGTTATAGCAACAAAGAATCTGTGGTACAAAGTAAAACTTAAATTCGACAAGTATTCCTTGCCAGAAATCAAATTTGAAGTGAAATGAACAGAAACATCCTCTTAAATTTTACCATATATCCAATAGGATTACCTGGTGAACAACGTTTTGCCAGCGCCACAAATATCTGGTCAAGTTTGAAAGGCAAGGCAGGCAGAAAATAGAGAAATATAACATCCAATGGTGACCATTTTTCTGGCACATATATCAATTCTCCTTGCCAACACTTAACCTCGTCATATTTCTCTTTAATTCCAGCTAAGACAAAAATAGAGTCGTGGACTACAAGCAACAATTGGCAGAGTGATGATTCAACTAAATGATCCACAAAACCTTCAGAACCAATTGAGACTAGAACTCTAGAAGTCTCATCAATATTTCCCGCGGATGCAATTCGGTCAACATTTTGCTTAACTTGTTCAGAATTTAACTCATCTGAATCTAGAAATGACCAATCTTTTTCACAAAAATCTTCAATATTGATAACTGGCACTGCCCCCTCATTCGAAGCATTTGCAGCACCAGCTAATGACCGATGACTGCAAACTGCCTTAAATGAAAAACTGGATTGAAATGGAAGGCAAAAAGGAGAGGCACGGTATCTACCACAATGGGAACTGGCAGTGCCAATATGTTGAGGCTGTGATTGAAACCTAGGAAGGGATCCTTGAGAAAGCGAGGGAATGATTAAAGAGGAAGGTACTAGGAGTGATCTCATTGAAGCTAAATAGTTAGCAAATGCATAGCAGATTCACAAACTTGAAAAAGATCAACGAAGAAAAAGCTTAATACCCTTAAACTGTAAGAGTTTGACTGTTCATTCTATTAGATATCTTCAGTATATCTTCATAAGATCAAACATTCCCTTTCACACTAACCTCCTGCCATAAAAAAACAGTGCAAAGTCAATGTTTTATGCTTTTAAGTGCTAAAATTAACAAAAGAATGGAAAAGAACAAACTCCATTGGCAATGGCAACTGGAAAGCTATAAATACAGCAAAAACCCAAGCCCAAGCCATCTCTAATATACAGAATAAGATTTCTAAAAGGTAAGGCAAGGGGTAGCCCTAACTTTCTTCTGAATATTTGATATAATCTAATTCCCAAGCAAAGAAAACAAAAATAACAAGAAGAAATAGGAACATGCCACCCATAACTTATACCAAAAGGAGAAAATTCATACAAGTCTCTCAGCTGTGTATTAAATTTTATTTGCAGAGAACCCAATTGGGTAATAAGAATTATATTCAAGTTTACAGTTATAAAATTTTGTAATTTTGCTCATGATAATAATTTATAGAATTTGAAAAAAGGAATAGAAGGAAAAACAAAAGAAGAAAAGGAGCAGATAAAATTGGAAAAATATAAAGGAAAAGAAAAAGGATAAAATGGAGAAACACAAGGTAACTAACCCCGGTAGGCTACTCTCTTGAGCGCAGCAGTGTCTGGGCAGTGGAAGCGGCATGCAGACGAGAAAATAAGGAGTGGATTCGCCGCTGATAGGCAACCCCACCAAGTTTTGGGCTTGGCTAATTGGGTCCAGTGATGATATTGACCCTCTCTCATTTGATCCAACTTATTTTTTTTTTACATTCTCACCAAAAGAGGGGAAAAAAAAGAAAGAAAATTTGTGATTTTTTTAAAAAAAGAATTTTTTTATGATTAGTCGACCTTTTATTCTCTACAAATGATAAAAAAAAATAAATCAATTTTGTAACGATTTTGCTTGAACAAGGTAGGTTTTTTTTTTTTTTTTTTCAAATCAATTATAAGATGAGATTATTTTAAGATTTTAAAAAATTTTTAAAAAACATATAATTAATTTGTATGCGTGATGGAAATATTTTCATCGTATTAATATTTACGTTTTGCCATTAATATGATCACTCAAACTAATGGGTAAGTAAAGGTTTTGTTAAATTTGTTATTCACATGTAATCTTTTATGTTAAATTCATACAATCAATAAAAGAAAAATACAAGTCAAAGTGCATGGATATTGCTTAAACAAAATTTGGTAACTTGCAACAAGTTCTAAATGGCGGATACAATTACCAAGCCTAAGAAAATGTCAGAATCACATTCATTTTAAAAGCTAAAACCTTTTTTACACCAACTCAGATTCTTTTGGCTAGAACCATACAGTTCCTAATTTATGCATCTTAGAACATTGGACTAAACAGTTGGAGTTGGTGACTTTCACCAAGTTAATTGATGTTACAAAGGAAGATGATAGCATGTTATTTGTCTGAGAAAATGAGGGTCAACGCTGAGTGCTGGGGAGTCCGATGAGAACAGAGTGCTCTGGCTTGTGTTCACATTCGAAATCAAGATGAACGAAGGCTCGTTCGACTTCAGGGAGTTGTTCAATCTTTATCTGCAATGATTCTCCAATAGCATGGGCCTCTTTCAATGGCAAGTCTTCAGGCAGCTCAATGTCAACCTGTTTTTGTAAAGGGAGAACAAACAGATCAAATTTACTAAGCTGGTAGTAGCTTTTGCCCCTAATAGAGGAGATTGAATCAGATATGCAAACAAAATGATCTTTTTGATGAGTATAAACATTCAAATAAACCAACCTCAACAAAGAATAAGACACCAAAAGTATAGGCTCGAACAGTATCAACTCTTTTGATTTGAGGATGATGCCTTAAGACGAGGTATGTAGGTTTCTGCAGGACTTCAGGAGGGGCAGATTGTCCTACCAAGGAAACTGCATGAACAGAAGTCCAGAAAATAAATGGTAGCATAAATCAACAGAAAGAACTGAAAATGGCAAGGAACAGGTTAATTTCTCATGTATGGATTCCAAGAAATTAGATGCTGATACATACTAGATTTTATTCTTTTTCTACCTGCATTTTCCAGAACAGTTCGAGACCAATTTGAAATCGTATAGAGTGCAAGGATGGTGGCACCAGCAGGGTCAATCCACTAGTAAAATTTATCACCAAGAACAGCAGCAATCAAACCAACTAGATTTGTTACCACATCAAAATAATGATCCTGGCAATCGTCATTAACAAAGGAGTAAACAGTCAGTACCTATCAGAAATGGTATAAAAAGATCATTTAAATCATTGGCATTAACCTTTGCATAGGCACGGACAATTTTGCTCCCTGAGCTTCTACAGTAAAACCATAGGATAAGTTTGATTGCAGTAGCTGTCAGCATGATTGCATATAGCCAGACCAGTTGCTCTGAAGTCATGTTTTCTGACGGTTTTTCTTTGATCAATTGTTCTACATCTTCAACCAGCACCTGGAAGGCTGTACATGATTGTTGGAAGGAGGCTATGCTGTTATTGTTAGGGCATTCTTTTTAAGGTACATATGGTGAAGGATAGGCACGAGAACATACCAAGAGTGGCCATGACAGCAGCAAAGATGATAATGCCTACTGGCTGAACCCTTAGTTTTCCAATAGGATATTTATAGATGTTTATGCTTTTCATTGACAGATGTGTAAACCATAGTATACCACCTGCCAAAAGATCTAGCAAAGAATCTAGTGTTGATGCAGCAATTGCTAGGGATCCACTCTTGACTGTTGCATATATCTGTGGGTGCATGTTATATATTCACTTCAATTGCTTTCGCCAAATCCAGAAAACCTCACTGGTTTCACATTTAGTTTCCAGAATTCTATAAGAAGAGGGAAAGGTGTATCACCTTAAAAGCAAGCAAAAAACCATTTGCCCAGTTAGATATGTTCATTGCTCTCTCATGTTGGGCTTGTTCGTCGGGATCTTGTGCTTCATCAATGACATGGGGTGATTCCAGGGAGTCAACTTGATCAAAAGATCTCAAAGTAGCCAATTGTTTTCCATAGTATTCTTTTTCACCTAATAGAAAAAGGAATATTATTTGCTATAAGGATCAATATATTCATGCTTAAGTGTTTTACTCCATCACCAGTAAGACTAACATGTGTGTACTTCATCAGTTATAATTCTTATCCATTACACAGTTTTAGCAACAATATCCAAAACAAAAGTACCCATATATCTGATGATATATCGGCAGCAACCAAATTAATAGTGCTGACTGCTGAGGCCATTTAAACCCGACCTTTCATTCGATTTTTTAGCATGAACCATCTATAAAATTCCAAAAAAATAAAAAAAATAAAAATAACGTTAAACAGCTTATGAACTTGGTTTGCAGCAAACATAATGTAGTCTTTGTTATTTTGGTGTATGACAGATAATGGAGGATGAGGTTAATTATTTGTGATTCATTTGGATGGGCGATGGGAAACCTTTCCCTCCGCTCACGCACAACGTTTTGGGACTGATCCTGGATAATTATGAACATTTCTTAAGAAGTATTAAATAAAAATAGAAGAGAAAATTGCATAGAGTAAACGTATCACAAATGGGAAGCAGAATAGAATGTGGAAGAGTAGAAAGACAAGCGGGGTACCTTCAGTTAAACCAGTGGTTTTAGAAAGGTCAATATGAAAAGGTATCTCAGGATCAAGCCCGGATTGAACCTTATCAGGCAATTTGGAGAAGAATTCACACTTGAGAGCATTGACTGAGTTACAGTCTTCTATTTTCCTATTCTGGATGAGCTTTTCTCCTTCACTTGACAACAATGGAGTTCTCACATTGTTCAAATCATCACCTGCCATTCCCTTTAAAGATAATTATATAAAGTTAAAACAAAATGACCCACCAATTTAAGATGCTTTGCAAACAAAAACCTCAAACTGAAATGGAAGAATCCTATTTGCAAAACTCCATATTCCAATCCATTCTAAATCAATAGGAAGAATGAAAACATGTTTCCACGGGGACCAAAAAAAAAGGACCACCAACATAACAGAGGAAACAACAAACACTTTAACTAGAACATTCTGAGCAAATCAGACTCACCTAGAATAGTTCAAAAACAACTTTTTCAGAACAATTTCACATTTCCGAGAATTTAAAACAACAATCACGCTAAACTCAAATTGCTAGAAATAAAATCATACGGTTGAATAAACTCTCTTGAACAACTGCTAGCTATTGTAAGCAATGATTAAAGTTGAAACTGAAACATGTAACTGCTCTATGAACATATTTTCTGTGTCCTTTTCTGTTTTCTAGTAATTAAAATCAGATATTTTTGGCTAATATGACATGATCAAATAAAAAGTTGATCTGGTTTTTGGACAATGTCTGGTCTGAGTGACATCTCAATTCTCAACAGCTGTCTTCTTCCCGCCACCATTCTCACATTTAAAGAGGCTTAGTGTCATGGTCAAGCTCTGGTGTGCCTTGAGTAAAGTAGTGGATGAGGCCTTGTTATCGAGACGGTGATTCTGGAGCTGTGTGCTGACATTTTAAGTATGAGAACATGTTGCTGATATTGTGCGTAGGTAGTGTGAGCCCTAGGCCTCAAGATGCATAGGCAAGTGTGAGCCAGTGGATGAGCGCCCTGAAGCATAGTCAGTTGCTGTCGGTTGAAGTTGTGTGCGGGCATCATCGATTGGGTTGGTAGAGTAATGAGCGAAATGCTAGAATTATGGTGACCAAGAGGAAGGTCACTAGGCCTTGAGTTCGATGAAGAAAGGCTTTGAGATGGCTAAGGAGAAATGTGTTCTTATTTTAGACATTCTTACGGTTCTTGGTACGAGGGCTGGAAAAGTTTTTATGCTCTTTGTAAGGGGAACATTTGGTGTCAACTCTTCACCACCCTTTTGGCTAGCGGGCAGACGGGAGCCTAGCTAGTCTGAAGTGAGTTACTCCTAAACACCTATGGTGTCTAGGTAGGCGGCTATCATCGGGTCACGAGTGTGGCATGTTATCTCCTCAGATCATGGTAAACTTGGAGATGGTTAGGGTTGATAGGCCTTATATTGCGCCTAAGCATAAAGCCATGGAGTTAGACACTAGCATTTGCTATGCCTTTTTATTTTCCTTCATTGAGCAAAAAGGATCATAAGATGGTATATGTATAGGAGGGACACTATTGAGCTTGAGGAATGAGCGAGCTAGCAGGCATGCACGCTGCTAGACCTTTATAGCCAATCAGTAAAAGTGTGCTACACTGAGGTAGCACACCAAAGTCCCCGAGGCAGGATGAGTATGATTTTGAGTATCCATCATGAGTACGAGTAGCCTAAAATGAGGCTAAGGGCTGAAGCCTGGAGATATGAGTTTCGTGGGATGAGATGAGCCTAATGTGACTTCGGGCTTGCTGCTGACCAACATTTGTGTTATGCCTTCGAGATCTTAGCATGAGAGCTTGCGTATAATGTGGGCAAGCATGGTGTTAGGTTCTTACCATACCAGAATGCAATAATCTTATGAAAATAGAAAAGGCTGCTGGCCCTTATAAGAATTCAAGGGTTGATGTTCGAGACCTTGGTGTCTGCGGGCAAAGAAGAGTGCTCCAAGCCACCCTGAGATTTGTATGATAAGAGTTGGGTTCCTTTCTATTGAGTTTGAGAATGATGCATGCAACCCTACGAGGTCTGAGCTAGGAAGAGCTCATGAATATGCGGCTTGAAGGATAGGTAATGATCTATCTATGAAGAAATGGACTCACAAAAGGTTGACTTCGACTATAAGTAGTTTTGGTGTAGCATGGACATATAGTTTCGATCTAAAGAATGCGTGGCTTGTGATAGTTGGTATCAGAGCCATGTTTAACTTAGCAGTAGGACTAATGTCACCTCAGGTGCGAGCATGATAACATGAAATTGAGGTGGTGCTAGCTCAAAGAGAGCTATTAAAATATGAATGCGATTTTATGGCTATAAAGGCTCAAAATGAGCCAACGATGCATGTTACGAAAAAAATTAGCCTAGATGGAAGGCCTTCGAATAGGCTCTTGGATGCTAAGTGAAAAGGCATGGGAGTCTAACCTCACCTAGCAAAAAATATTGGTATGTGCAAGCATGTGATGCCTTTACGGTGGGAAAACTAGAGTGAGACTGAAATGCAAAAAGGGTATACACCTTAAAATGATGTTTGAGCTAGGCCATGTGGGCCAAATGAGTTTTGTCCTGAGGGACATGAGTCATACATATTGAGATCAATTACTAACGTATACACTTATTGTATGGTGCAAGTGCCCTAGTAAGGGTATGAACCAAGTATTTAGGCCCAAGTGTAAAGGCATTCTACATAGGCAAAAGAGTTTGAGTTGAAGAGGATTGAAGCCATGAATTGTGGTGGTCAGTGGGTCATAATAATGTGTAGCTCAATGGAACGAGCACCAAGAATTGGCCAATTGATAAGGCCTTATGAGTTGTGTTGGTCAAAGGATCGATCGAGTTGAATAAGTTGAAGGTATGGGCATTTGAGTGCATATGATCAGTGGACTGTATGAGTCGGAGCAAGATGTCAACCTAGGGGATGGCTTTGAGGATCAAGTGGGTCATTGGATCCTCAGTATCGAGTGGGTTGGTAAGCCCTAGAGTCAAGCAATCAGTGAACAATGTGATCGAATGGATCGATGGATCCTAGAGCTTTGTGTAAGCTTTAAGATGCCCCATAAGATTAAGCTAGAGTCATGGCAAACGAGTTATAAAACCATCATTGATACATGATTGCATGTAGAGTCAAGCTGAGTTCAAGTAAAAGTTAGGAAGAAGTATGTTTCCTATAGAACTGAGCCAAGACAGTATAGCTTACGAGTTTATTGAGCATTATGTTTGAGTCTAAGATTGAGTTTGAGATAGCATGTGTTAAAGTGCCACCACAAGAGTGGTTGGCCAAAAGGTCATATCGAGAGAGGTGAACTTGGAGTGGTCGAAAGTTGTGAGGTGACCAAAATGCTTGAATGCCATCATGCTAGGGTTTATTGCGGATGGTACTATATGAGTGTGGTTGACCTAAGCACCATGTCCAAAAGGGCATATTGAAGAGTCAATGCTGTAGACTTACAGATGATGTGATGGGTCACGTCTAATAAGACGTACCAATGTGTGGCAAAATAGATGGTCATTAATTCGACTGAGGGTCATGATTAATGAAAGTGCCTCGAGATCACAATATGATGTGATCATTAGTGAAGCAATGCAGTGGCACATATTAAGCAAAATAGTTTGAATCTAGTAGTCATATGTGGAGATAGCATAGAGGTGTATTGGAGCTGGGATTAAACCCATCTACATTGACAATAAACGAGTACTATGGGCGGTGCCTTATGTGACGGGATCTCGATCCAATCTTTAAGAGCATAAGCGAGAGACATATAAAAAAATGTCAACTGTCTGCAATAAGAGAGTTGGGTGTGGTCTTGTCATCGATGAGGGCATCAACATAGTAAGTGGGAAAGAGTGTCATGGTCAGGCCTTGGTATGCCTCGATCCTACAATAAGTGATCCTGAGCTGAGCAGCAAACAAGGCTTTGTTATCGAGACAGTGGTTTTGAAACTGCATGCAGGCATTTTAAGCATGAGAATATGTTGCTGATATTATGTGTGGACAATATGACACTAGGTCCCGAGATGCGTGGGCAAGTGCAAGCCAGTGGACAAGTGTCCTAGAATCAGTTAGCCAGTTGGGTACTATCGATCGAAATCGATGCTGACACCTTCAAGTAAGTTGATGGAGCAACAAGTAGAATATTGGAATTATGAAGACCAAAAAAAAGGTCATTGGGCCTTGAGTTAGGTGAAAAAGGGTCCTGAAATAGCTGAAAAGAAAAGTATTCCTATTTCAGATATTCTTACGGTTCATAGTAAGAGGGTTGGAAAAGCTCTTACGCTCTTTATAAAAGGGAACGACTAGTGTCAGGTCTCCACTACCCCCTTAGCTAGTAGGTAAGTGGGGGCCTGACTGGTTTAAAGTGAGCTACTCCTAGGCATATATGGTGTCTAACTAGAAGGGCATTATTGGGTCATGAGTGTGGCACGGTGTCTCTTTGGGCCATGGTAAACCTAGAGATGGTTGGGATCGATAGGCTTCGTATCATGCCTTTGCGTAAGGCTATAGGGTTAGATGTTAGCATTTGCTATGCTCTTGATTTTCCCTCTTTGAGTCAAAAAGATTATGAGATGGTATTTGCATAGGAGAAGTACCATCAAGCCTAAGATATGAACAGGCTAGCAAGCAAATGTCACAGGTTGAGACTTAACCTCCAAGCCCGTATGACTCCAAAATCCCGGCATCCACTCATTTGACATCTCAAATCAACCTACCTATCACGGTTCATACCTTTATGAGGTATTGTTTACTCTAGCCCTTCTAGTCTCATGATTTTGTCTCATAAAACGCACCTCATAAGGAGGAGAATGTATAAACCCTTATATCTTATAGTTAACTTTAGTACACAGTCGATGTGAGATTCCTGCTTCACTACAGGATCGTGACATTTTTTTCCACTCTAACGAAGGCCCACCGTCTTCAGTGGTATATCATTGTACCCCCAAAGCTGGCTCTATATCACTTGTCACAGGTCGAGACTCAACCTCCAACTTCGTGTGACTCTAGAATTCGAGCATCCACTCATCCAGTGTCTTAGATCAACCTACATTCCGTGATTCACACCCTTATGAAGTATTGTTTACTTTGGCCCCTTTGACCTTACGATTTTATCCCATAAAAGATGCCTCACAAGAAAGAGAATGTGTGAACCCTTATATCCTATAGCTAACTCTAGTGTACAGTCAATGTGGGATTCCTGCTTCACTTTAAGACCGTAACATAAACACGTTGCTAAACCCTTATGGTTAATCAATAGAAGTGTGTTGTGGCTGGGGTAGCACACACAAGTCTCCGAAATGGGATGGGTATGATGTTGAGTGTTCATCATGCATACGAGCAGCCTAAAATGAGGCTAAAGATTGAGGTTCGAAGATATGAGTTTCGTGGGATAAGATGAGCTTAGTGTGGCTCTAAGATGGCTACTGACTAGTATCTGTGTTGTGCCTTCGGGATCTCGATATAACAGCCCGCGTATGATGCGGACGAGCATGGTGTTGGGTTCTCACCATGCCAGAATGCAATAATCTTATAAGAATAGGGCTCCAAACCCCTATGAGAATTTGAGGGTTGATACTTGAGACTTTAGTGACTGTGGGTAAGGAAGAGTGCTTGGGGCCATTTTGAGATTTGTGGATTGAGAATTGTGAGGGGATTGAGTTTCTTCCTATTAAGTTTGGGAATGTTGTGTATGACCCTACAGGGTTTAAGTTAGAAAGTGCTCATAAATACGTGGCTTGAAGGATCGATAATGATCTGTCCATGAAGAAATGGACTCATGAAAAATTAATCTCGATTATAAGTAATCTTGATGCTGCACAGATAAGTGGTTTTGATTTAAAGAATGTGTGGTCCGTAACATTTAGCTTGTTTTAAACCTTGTCTTAAGTCACAAAATTTTACTTCCCTTTCAGGTATGGTATGATGTAAAAAATATGACGGTTCATGTATTATCTTGATAAAGTTTAGATACCAATATTGGATTTCTATTTTTTTTTATTGGTTGAATTACGTTAATAAACAAAGTAAGGGTTACTTTTTAAATTGCAAAGAAATTATGAAGTGATGAAGTTCATCAAATTGAAATAATAGTTAAAAATAAAAGAAAGAAATTATAAATATTAAAATTTAGATTTCAAACTTATTAAATATCATTTTTCAAAATTGGTTGCATGAACTTTAAACCTTTAACTTAGATAAACTACAATAATTAATTGTATTTAAAATTATAAGTTAAATAAAGAGCCCTTTCTTACTCAACCAAAAGAAGGTAACAATGGCAAACTAAATAAATAATTAGTCAAATTGATCAATAATGGCCCATTTATTGATGATCTTAAGGTATGCTTTAAGCAATGCTGAATGAAGTTTTGTTCACACAAAGTCTTCATACATGTCGTGGATTTTTTTTTTTTTATGTGGATTTCAGCTAAAAGAAGTTATTACTATTTTTTTTAAATTTATTTATAATTTGCACTTTGCAGTTTGCATCTCCGATTCTGAATTTTTTTTTGCATAAGATGAGTGTAGCCCATTAAAAAAGAAGGGATTTTGATTCAAAACTAAAACATTTATATCGTTGCAAGAACTATTTAACCACTAAAGAAAAAAGCAAAAGATTCCGATTTTAAATTCTGAAACAACCATCATTCATCCTCAAAAACAAAGAAATGTTTTTTTTCTTAGTGAATTATTCAGCTTTGAAAGGTTATTGGCTAAATGAAGTGGCCATCTTTGTATTTGCCAGAAAAGGAATATCTTTCATGTGATTTTTGTCACTCATTTCAAAAGCATAAGCTCAGCCTCAAATGCCCACCAATCCTGCTTTATTAACTTCTCTTCCATTGGTGTAAAGGGGGAAATTGTGGGTTTTTTTTTTTTGGTAAAATAATTATTTTTATAAAAAATTATTAAATTATTATGCTGCGATAACTTTCATGTAAAAAAAAAAAAAACACGTTATAAATACCTAAATTACCAAATTTAATAATCAACAAAGGACAAAATGGAAAGCCTAACCAAGCCAATTTGAAATGGGCCAACTCGGAAAATTTTCAAGTGAAAAATAAAAGCGGAACAGTGAAAGCCCAACTTCATCCCACAATTGCAAGTTGTTGTCTACTTTAAAATCTTTCTTCCACTGCCCACTAACCTCAGATCGGACGTTTTCAGTTTTCTTCCCAACGAACTTTCACGAGAAAACACTATCCTTCGGAAATGGCGACACCCCAGTTCCTATCATCCTTCAAATACTCCGACAGCCTAAAAGTCGTAGCCATCTCCGTTTGCACAGCCATTTTCTGCGAAGCCATATCATGGGTCTTAATCTACCGAACCAACTCTTACAAATCCCTCAAATCCTCAATCGACAAAGCAGCCAAGAAGCTGGAAACCATGAAAACCGACCAAAACCCTAACAAGTTATCGACGAAAAAATCCAAAACCAAGAAAATTGACCGTGTCGAAACCAGCCTCAAAGAATCCAGCCGTGACCTTTCCTTATTCAAGTTCAAATCTGGGGCTGTCGTGGCTCTCGTTTTGATCGTCGTTTTTGGGTTATTGAATTCGCTTTTCGAGGGGAAAGTTGTGGCCAAATTGCCTTTTAAGCCGATTGGGATTGTGATGAAGATGAGTCATAGAGGGTTACAAGGGGAAGATTCGACGGATTGTTCGATGGTGTTTCTGTATTTCTTGTGTTCAATTAGTATAAGAACTAATTTGCAGAAGTTTTTGGGGTTTTCGCCTCCGCGAGGAGCTGCTGGAGCTGGGTTGTTCCCAATGCCTGATCCCAAGACTAGTTGATTCTATTTTGCTTGATCGTTGGGGGATTCAGGGAACTGGGTATGTATTTTTTGGGGTTTTTGTTTTTTAATTTTAATTTGAGCTACTGTTTCTCTAATGAGAATAATGATTTAGTTAATGGGCATTCGGAATTTTGGATTTTTATGTGATAATTATTGACAATGACTGGTTTTATATTTGAATTATTGTTCTCTGCATTTGATTATTGTTAATTTTTATGAGTAAGTTGCAAGTGATTGGATTAAATGATTTTATAAGCAAAAGGTTGGGCCTTTATTACCTTATATGAATTTCGTAGCTATGAATGAGAACCTGTAGGCTCTGTCACGCCTGGATTGGAGTAATCGATGCTTGATTATCTATCTTTCTCTAATCTATTGAGAATGTTTTAGTGAAAACTTTGTAGTGGATGTTCATTCAGTTTCTTATTGAAACTTTCATACAATTTATACAATCTATGAACTAGTGGGCTAATTATACACATATCTTAACATGGAATAGAGTGCCCTGTTGCTTTAATCCTTTCATAATCTAGAGTGTTTTGTGGAAACTGATATTAGATCCACCATATATCCTTTGCTTAGAGATGTGTCCTTAAGCTTTGAGAACCTCGTGTCATTTTCCTTCTTCATTTGTTTGGAAATGAAGTAAATCTCAATGTATTCTTTGTTCTTTTTACCTTCTAATCTTGGGATTCTGTTGGAAGCTTGAAGGAAGATGACTTCTATTATTTTCAGAACTCACTGTTACAAGTTACTACGAATGAAACACTAGCAATTTGTGTATCTGTACTGTGTTTATATCGTTTTAAACATGTGTGAAACATAAAAAGTTGCCGTGTCAAATTTGTGTTGATAGGCCAAACACAAAATTTTTTTTTTTTTAATTTTTTGCCTAGCACATATATAATTTTTGTTAAAATTTTAAACTGTCACTTTCATGTTTTCTTTTGTATCGTTTTTATATTATATCACCATGTCATGTTTAAAATTATCAGGTTTTAAACATCATACTTGGAAGTGGCATTTCTGAGTAAAATAAGGAAAATAGTGAATAGAGTTATTGAACTTTGAAATTAAGGTTTAGATTTGGCATGTGAAAATCTGTGAGATAAGCTGTTTAGTTTTAATTTTATACTGTGTTGGGTTTAGTATACAGTATTGATAGTGTTGCATAATTTATACATATGGGCCTACTTCTTCTCTAAATTCATTTTCTGCTCTGGAGTTGTGTGCAAATGGATTCAAGCTAGGATTTGTTCATGAAATGAAAGTAGATGAATGAATGGCTTCCATCTTCTCCTAATTTTGTACTCAGGATTTCAAGGCATGCAATGTCATGCTTAGGACTTAAGAGTGCCTTTGGCAATATGTTTGTCTCCAACCTTTACGGTTTAATAATAATTGCGGATTTCCATTTGGTGTGTGAGAAAACTGAAAGCTGTTGGCTGCCTAAATTTTCCTAGTTATAAACTCATCACCCTTTTTCTTGCCCTTCTGATTCTGCCTCTTTGGCCTATATGGATTGTTTAAGTTAGAGAAAGATAGAAATTTCTCCCCCTGGTTAAGAGGAGATATGCCGGCTTTCATGGGTGGCATTTCTGAAATCTAATAACATATGTGTTAATTTGTTCATTGATCGAATTATCTCCAGTTGGATTTGATCCGCACGGGCATCGTTAGGACCTCCTCGGCACCCACCATTGCATTATTAGTTCATCAGTATCTGTGGTTACATTACTCCTCAGTCTGGAGACAAAATGAGAGGAAAAAAAAAAGGTTTTAATCAGAAAAAATCCTACGCGATATGCATATCTTCAACTTTTTAACTCATCTTTTTACTCACTCCCTTCCATTTTTTCTTTTTCAATGTTCGAAAAATGTTTTTTTCACCTGATATTTTAATTTTCTATATTTTTTGATATCATAAAAATTACAAAACATAAATTTTATAAATTTAAATATTTTCTTAAATTTCATAAAAATATCAAATAAAGACAAAAAAAATTGAAATGAGTATCTTGTTGTTTAACACTTGGTTTTGGTAAAAAAAAAAAAAAGTAAACGTGGCCATTCATGCCAAAAAAAAAAAAAGGCGAGAGCGGATGGGAGACTTTGCTTTCTGTTGTCCGTTTGATATTTAATTACAAGCATTTTCCATTAGCAATCCTGTTTTACGTGTGGATTAAGCTGTAAGTTAACCTCAAATTAGGAGAGGAAATTGACTAGCCTCATTTCAAAGGCAATGGCGAATGCCGTTCGAATTGGAACACAATTCTTAATTTTTTATCCAAGTCGTTAAAAAAAGAGTATAAATGTATGTCTTTGACTTGGATCAAACCAAGGTTGAAGAGACTTTTGCTCACCTTGCTTACTCTTACATCGATCACCATCCTTACTTGTCTGCCTGCTTACTTCTCAACTTCTTGCAACTTGTCCAAGTATCACTTCTCTAAACTCAAACTTAGGCTCTCACATATATCAATTTAATTTTGATGATCCCTTCTTTAGAATAAGAATAATTAATTAAGCTAAACCTTAATTCTAAAAAAATCTTTATTTATAAATGCATCCGAACATTTGACTTAATTTTTATAATACATGATTCCTCTATTCAAAAAATGGAATTCGAATCTCCTTGTTTTCTTAATAATAATAATAATAACGACAATAAAAACTTCTTTGCTTCGACTGCAGCCACCTTTTTCTTCCCTTTGTTTAACCTTCATCACTTGTCTAAAACCATGCTAGTTCAAGCTAAATCTGGAGAGAGCTCAAATTCAACCACTCCATTAAATTTTGTTTCCCCTGAATTAAAATCCTTGGGGTTTCTATTTCTTTTAAAACAATATTTCAGAAAGAACAAAAATGAACCAGTTGGCTAAAGCAATAATAAAAACATAACGCTTAGGGGGTCTGAACCCAAAAACCAATTAAACATCAGAGAATGGCAAAACTACAGATATATATATATATATATATATATATTAAAACTGTAATAATTATGTCCACTCTAAAAATTGCACACTGATATTTTAAACCTTTCTTTCCACTATTATTACCTTTTATTTTACCTTAATTTTCCATTTCTATTAAAAATGTACTATTAACGTGAGCCACAATTTCTATTAAGGGTGCTCAAATTATATATTTTTATGTTTAACATTTAATTTTTTTTATAATTTTTGCATATAAAAATGAGATTTAAATATCAAACCTATTAAATGATAGTTCGACTGCATGTTAAGTAATTTAATTCTGTATACTATATAATTTAATTTATTTCGTTCTTCTTCAGGGCCAGCAATCTCCTCCATATATCCTTTGTTTTGTGTTCTCCTAATCCATTTAACTTTCTCTTTTTCACTCTATATATTTTTTTCATTTGCCTTTTCTTTTCGTCATCGATCAGAGTTCTTAGCTGAGGCCTTAGGTAGGGGCTTTGGTCTTCAAACAAACCCCACCAGCATGGTCCAACCAGAAGAATCAAACTCCAAAGGGCAGGCTGTTACTTCATCAGAAGAGCCAAAGCCTGAGTTCAAGTGCCCAAGATGTTCCAAAACTTTTCACTCTGTACCTGCCTTATGTGGCCACCAAAATGCCCATCGTCTGGTGAAAGAACCCATGAAAATATCGCCGGTTCTAGCGGCAGTTTTGAATAACCCTCTGCCCCCCTGATGATAAGCCTGTGTTGATCACTCCGCGTCCTAAACCACAAGCCAATCCTACAGCGGCCAAGGAGCTTGTTTCTAAGCAGCATGGTGCTGGAAATGTATCTCCTCGTTATCATCCTTACAACAGACAAAGCAAGGAGCCTGTCCAGGACAATCTCATGAAAGAAATGACTAGATACAATAATAATTCTCATAAGAAGCCAAAAGGCGAGGATTTTCTGAGGCAGCTTCTCGAAGAGGATCCTCAATATCATCCTTTTGAAAGGGTAGTACTGCCAGAGTACAATCAGGAGTACTCTCTCCCTCGGTGTCTCACCCTGGATCTGCTTGGTGAACGGATGCCCGTAAGTGGCTTGGGAGATCATGGTCAGCTCGGAACATTCTCTAGGGAAATCCTATCTGATCCTAGTTTAAGGAATTATTGGATGGAAAGGGAAGCTGTTCTTGAGATTGGTTCAAAGACAAGCACTGGGCTTTTGGACTTGGAGTTGAAGCTAGGGTTTTGAGCTGGTCAGGCTTTTGAGGGAAGATTAGATTAGACCTGTGGTTTGTCAGTGCCAATGGAGGTAATTTTGGGTCTGGTTGAATTCCCATTTAATTACATCAGATAATAGTTGTCTCCTAAACTCTGCATAGCCCCAAAATTTAACCCTTTTGTTTAAGACGGAATCCACTTTTTATCAATCTGTACAAGGTCGGCTGCTGCTGAAGATATTAGTCTAGGGTCTTAATTTTTGTCCCTTAGTGCTGTTTTTTTCCTGAAAGTATTAGTATTTCAAATGTTATGAATCAAAGAATGTTTTCTTTGTCTTCACCTTCTTGGCCTAGTGACTAAAAAGGCTTAGGAAGTCATGTTTGGTGAGAGTTGGAACCCCACTAACCCCATCCCTTATTTCCTATTCAATGGATAAAAAAATGTTTTCTTTATCTCTAATCAGAAAAAAGTGTTCTTTTTTTCCCTAGAAATCTTGAATATCTTCTTGATCTCTTGGATAAATTTGTTATAAGAATCAATGATATAGTGGAGTAGTTGGCATCTGAAATTTCTTCTTCTCAAGCATGATATATACCGAAATGAGGGTGTTACATATGGAATGATCACTGATTACAGGCCTGTTGGAGCCGAGGTGAAATGGCAGAAAACTCTTGGATTTTGTGAATTAAGTTCTATTTTGATGGAGCTCTGAATATTCCGGAAACACATGGAGGCATTGGTGTAGAATAGTGAACAGCAGGGAGGGGGATGGACTTGCGGTTGGTGCGTGTTCACTCACACATGCAGTAAAGGCGATTGATTTTGCTGCTGATATGAGGGTTCCATCAGATTATCATTGAAGGAGATGCGTTAAGTGTAGTTAATCTCCTGAAGCAAACATCTACAGAATTATCTTGCAATCTCATAGAGGAGGGCAGGATTGCACATGTTAATCGAGAGGCTAATGCAGCTGCTGATTTCTTAGCTAAATATTTCCTCATGTAATTTTTTCATGTTATTATTTGATAAACTCGTTAAAATTTTAATAATAATCATAAATTCAAAATTCTAATCATGTAGTATATATAAACATCACATACAACAATTTTTCAATCATTATTGAACTTTAAAAAATAGCTGCATGATATCTTACAGAAATAACAAATTAATTAATTCAATAATATAATGGAACACATGTAAGTTAATAAATTCATTACAAACTAATCATAAATATGTATATTGACAAATATAAAAAATGACAAATTAAATTCGGTAATATATAATGAAACGTAATAAACTCTTTCTAATTTACTAGTGATCATAAATATGTATGATATTATAAGAAACAACAAATAATATATAATGAAATACGTGCAAATCAATAAACATCGATGAACGTAAAGCAATTGGAAGTAAATCTTGCATCAAAATGTGATAATCATGTGACTTCAGTGAAGAAAGTTTTCACTTTTTCATATTCACACATCTTGATATATTTGACACATAACCATCCGAAACTTTGACATTTTTCAAAACCTTGCAAAACACATCCTTTTTAGCTTTAGAAATCCCAAAACAAGCAGCAGACAATCGATATTTTTCATTAGGAAGCAATGTCGGATGAAGGTCTGGGTGAATCTCCATATCAACTAGGTCAAGCCGACT